CGAATCTGTCAACACCCTCATTAGATTGGCTATACACGCTCGCAATGCAGATGCTGTGAAGATGCTCATCAAGTTCAAGCCAGACATTAACCGCCTGGATGAATATGGATGGAGTCCTTTATGCGATGCTGTCGGCTACGTCCCAGATACTAAGATAGCGAGACTACTAATTGATGCCGGCGCTAACGTGGGTCAAATACTTGAGGATAGTAGAAGGAACCTTATGCATCTGGCCATGGGAGCAGATGCCGACGTGATCCGTCTCTTGTTTGAGTTTCCCAAGGCCGTCGATATAGACCACCGTGATAAGTTCGGCAACACGCCTCTCATGGTCACAGACAATACGACAAAGGTTGAATGCGTCAGGCATTTACTCAAGGCCGGCGCTGATATCAACGCACAAAACTCGGATGGACTCACACCACTGATGAACGCCATCGCGTGCGACGCGCCATCTGAAGTCATCCAGTGTTATTTATCTCAACCTCAACTAGATCCCAACATCTACTCAAAAATCCACGGCAGCGCGCTGCATGTTGCTTGTCGCACGCTCGACAAGGACATTGTGAATGGGTTGATCAGAATCGGGTCGGACGTCAACCAGCACCTGCCAGCCCCGGCTCTCTCGCCACTCATCGTCGTTTGTATACCATTCCCAGACGTGAGTCTGAAGAAGCGGGAAAACACCGATTACATCGTACACGCCCTGATCCGCGCAGGCGCTAATGTCAATTCCACGAGCAAGATGGCTCAGCACGATTCCCATCGCGCCCTGTCCACGGCTTCTTTGTGGGCCAGAACATCCACCCTTGAGATATTTCTATACGAGGGCGCCGACGTCGAGGCGCGGGATCCTGTAGGCCGACAAGCTATTCACTTTGCCGCTGCTAATGGCGTAGGCAACCTTCGCGCCGTAATGCGATTTTTCGAGGGAAGCGTCGCCATAGCGGACAGCTCCGGGAAGACGGCTCTGCACTGGGCTGCGCAGTTCGGGCGTTTGCAGGCTTTCAAGTTGCTTCTATCAACAATGAGCCCGGATGAGCGGATGAGACGGGTAAACGAGCCTGATATCGACGGCTGGACGCCTCTCTGCTGGGCGATGCGGACGTCGCCTATCGTATGGAATCATATGTCCGAACCGTTTGAATGCAAGGGCTTGGTTCAGTGCCTCCTCCAGGAAGGGGCGGATCCGTCTATCCAATGCTGGATAGGCGAAGGCCAGGATAAAGAATGCTTTACACTGCTCCATCTCGCCTATCTACATGATGCTGACGAGAAGATGGTCGCTTTGATCCGAGACGCCCTGACAAAGGCCATAGACACTCATCAAAGACGGACAGAGTGGGAGGGGAAGACTTGCAGTCTGTATAAGCCTCGTGACGTCTTGTGCGACGTCTGCCTCTGTGTAAGTTATTAAAAATCCAACCAGCGAATGTTGTCTTGCGCACAAGATATGAGATAGTCATTCGCTATCCGCCGCCTCGTGCTACTATCTACATGAATGCAGCTGACTGATACCTGTGCTTCTACCTATAGCAAATCTATGGACTCGAGTATGTTTGCAAGATTTGCCCAGACTTTCGGGTTTGTAAGAAGTGTTACGGTCGTATCGATCGGTACCACAATCGTTTTGAAGACGATATTACGCCGTTTTTGCCGCACATCTTCGAGGTCCCTGATCATGAGGAGTTTATGGATACGACGGATGTAGTAGAAACAGAGGAGAATACGAGTACAAAGATGAGAAAAGAAGACGACGAGGAAATTGAGGAGAATAGTAGATGGGGCAGGTTCTGAGACTGGCAACTTGGTGTCTGGGAATTCCCAGAATGTAAGACATAGAGCCTTCATGCCAGATAGGTGATAGCTCGGGTATTTCTGCTTTGCATGAGCAATGAGCACAGCGTTGCAATGCATTACGCTACTTTTGTTATATACAATACTACAATTGCGTGGTTAGCTGTGGTTCCCTAGCCTAAATACATCCGAGATATAGTGTTACAAGATATTTTGCCTCGGCTTGCGGCCTCTTTGTTTATTTTTCAAAGAACTTGATAATATAATGCTGTAAGCTTCTGGTAAATGTCTAGGCTCACCGCATTTTTAGAAAACCATGCAAGATCATCGGGCTTGAAGTTATTACAGAGCCCATAAACCAACATTGAAGACGTCAAGAAAACTCTACCGTTATGGTTTGGCCTGGATCCAATAGCAATTGTCCATGTTTGGCGCCTATTGTCTAACACGTCTCATGCTGCTGCCGCGGGCCAATCAGTAGGGCATGCACATGTACGAGCTTTAACTAATGAATACGTTACTCATAATACGAAAACAAATGCCTGAAACACGAATCAATCTCTCAGTGCCGAACGTAAAGTCGGCTACCAGATCCTATACCCAAGTCTGGCGGGTGCCGTGCCTTATACCTCCCTCCGGTCTGGTCAGTCAACTCCGTATAGACTTGGCAGCCTACCCAATGAAACGTTTCAAGTTACTTGAGACTTGCAGAAACAATTACTCTCTAGTTTAACTCGTTCATGCAAACAGCCTGCCGCCTTTTAGACGTCTGGTTCTCTCACACCTGCCAACCTGCCGAGAGTTCCTTGCCAGCCAGCAGCCGTCCTTGGCGACTAGAAACTACATGGCACCAAATCCACGCTCGCGAGGGCAACAAAAATCACCGTCCATAGCCCTCGTCTCAGTTCCAGTGCATTCAAAATCATTTCTCAACTTCCCCCTTTAGCCATTCCAAAACGGCGAAAACGTTTTGATCAGGAGGAAACACCGGATACCAAAACTTGATAATCTTGCCCTTGGATATCGCCAGGGTCAACCGCTTTATCAGAGTTTGACCTTTCCATTCAAATAGAGGAAGCTTGAGAGCCTCCGCGAATTGCAGCTTCTCATCACTCAGGAGGTCATATGGCAGATGAGTCCTGTCATGGAACTCTCTCTGTGTCTCGCAGCCCTGGGTAGACAACCCAAACAGGAATTTGACTCCGGAAGCATTTAATGCGCCCGAATTATCACGAAAGGAACAGGCTTGAGGCGTGCAGCCGCGTGCTCCTGGGATGGCATCCCAGTCTGGGGGAACGGATTCTCCCGCTGCGGCGGAGCGAGGATAGCAGAAGACGATTGCCAACCCGTCGAGAGCAGCCAGGTCAACTTGGACGGCCGAGGTATTCGTAGTCGGAAGACTGATGCGGGGAAGGGTGAGCCCTGTCAGGTGGTTGCAAGCTCCATCGTCGACTGTCGGGCAGACCAGAGGGCAACGTTGGCATCATGTTGTCCGATTCCCCTGCCCTAGCAGTGGTACTCATGCGTGCTGATCAAGATTTAACACCAGAAAGGCAATATATCAGGTCGCGGTCGCGATGACCAGAGGAACCGAGGCGAGTCTTATATATCCAAGGCTCGCAGCCGCTGTCGCCCCCACCGGCCGATTCGACGGGATGGCCTGGTCAGCGGTAGACGGGTAAGTAAGTCTGGCCCGGAGAGGGAAAATGGTGACTCACGTCCGGGGTCGATTATCCGGCACGGGCTACAATCCGAGGGTGTTGGGCGTGTGCACAGACGGTTCTCCAACATTGCATTCCCCGCGGGCAAAAGCCCCCAATATACTTTTCTCTTGGGTGCCACAATTTTCCGCCAATGGCTACATGGCTTCCTGCTTGACTATATGGGGAAGATGGCCCTAGATTGAATGCCAGGGTCGCCATTGATTGTTGGGGCCAAGAACAGACGGCCGCATGTGCTCTTGCGGATTCCATGTCCATGTAGCGTAATCCGGTCCGGCCCCACCAGGTTAAGCGGCGAGGAAAGACTCTCTCCGCCCGAAAAGACAAGACACGAGCATTGATCAACACACATCCTCGGCCTTGGGCCTTGGTAACTAAACATAACTTCAGTGCCGGAGACGCGGAGATGTAGAGATCAGAGAGTGGGCGGCGTGTGGCTTGATCGTGTGCCGTACGCCTGGGTGCATGCTCCGGTAATGCGCCGGTGCGGGTCCCGTGTGGTATAACGACCTCCACTGGGAGGGCGTCAAGTACATACATGTACGTATTGATCGATTGATGTATTGGTGACTCCATGCCTGCTCACCTCTAGATGCCTTCGGATGTTTTTGGGTCATCAGCGGCGTTACCGCCCAAGGAACAACCAATGTGGGAAGCCGAGCCGGTCGTGACTATGCATCAACACTGCTTGTCACGATGAATGAGTTTTGAGAGCGCCAACGGCCATGAGGCTACGGAGATAATCCAGCCGCTTTGGGTTTGGCGCCATGAGAAGCTCGCCAGAAAACTATAAGAGACCTTGGGTAGCTTTCACTGCCTTGAATAAATGAATCCCTTTCTACATGGATGTACACATATTAGCCAAAACAAGTGATACAAGTAATTTTGTGTTTTCTTGAAAGGATTTCCAGAGAACCACTCAACTATACAATTATTCCCCACAAGTATATGACGCTTGATTCCTCTAGGCCCGAGATCCTGGCAAAGTGTGCACGGAATAAAATGGTGTTGATAGTTGCCATCAAAAGCCGGGCATGCTCTTTCCCCAGTGACCGCGGTGACTGGTTTGGGAGGTGCCAAAATCCAAGGGCATATGATTGATCCGTGTTGGCTGGTTCTGGACCATGACAGATGACCGTGCATGCCGCGAATAGCTGATTTGATGCGACCTTGTCATCTTTGAGTTACAGCAGTTCCACTATCAAGGAAAAAATGGAGGACAGATTTTGGGTGTTTAATACCACCCGGGAGGCTCATTTCGGCCGACTGTTCGGCCTGAGCTAGGACCTAAAGTCGAATAGACGGAAAACGGAATTATGCAGGTAGCACTGTTCCTTGCGTATTCCAAGCAGACGCCAGTAGCTTATTCAGGCATATTCCACGACAAAAAGGTTCCGCAAAAGGAGATTTCTAAAGCTTCCAAACTTCTTCACAGTCTCCATTTCCATTCCTTTGCTGGTAATTTCGCAATTTCCCGCTCCTATGGCGACCCTTTTGCAATATCGGGCCATTGGCCAGCGAGTAAAGCGTCAACTCGACCACACCCTGCAAGATAGCAGACACCCTTTCCCTCTTGAAGAAAATGGGCAACAGCCCGAATTCGACACTCCAAATAGTCGCCGTGTGTTGATTGTTGGCTGGGATGGACCCGACGACGACGCAAACCCTCGCAACTGGGCCACGGGGCAAAAATGGCTGGCTACTGTCCTCGTATCTCTTCTCGCTCTGCTGGTAGGAGTCTGCGCACCAATCGAAGCACCCATCAGACAACTTGCCATGAGCGAGTTTGCCATCTCTGAAATGGTCGAGTCGCTTTGGGTTGCGCTGTTTTTAGCCGGCATAGGAATAGGCGCGCTGGTCTCGGGGCCGTTTTCCGAGGTCCTGGGCAGGTCGGGAACGTACACAGTCACACTCATATTCATGTGTATCTGGTTAATGGCCTCGGCCTTGTCACCGCATATTGCACCTCGCCTCATCTTCCGATTCATGGCTGGGTTTTCCGGCGCAGCACCGCTTGTGTGCTCTGGAGGAACGATTTCGGACTTGTGGGCGCCCAGAGACAGGATATATCCCTTTTTGGACTTTACGATTATCGGTTTCGGTACGCCGGCTCTGGGCCCGGTATTCTCAGCATGGATTTCCAACTCGCCTCAGCACGATATGTGGAGGTGGGCAGAATGGATTGCACTCATATTCAGTGCAACTGTCCTTTTGGTCTTGGTTGCATTCCAGCCAGAAACATACGCGCCAGTTCTCTTGTCTTGGAAAGCAAAGCACCTGCGAGAAATGACGGGATATCCAGGTTATCACGCACAGCATGAACTTGAAGACCTGGCACTGCCTCATCGTCTGAAAATGGCTTGTATCCGACCATTTACCATGGCCTGGAATGAGCTGACTATTAAGCTTGCCTCCCTCTATCTTTCTTTCGTATACGCCGTTCTATTCACTTTTTTCGACGGCTACCCAATCTTGTTTCAGACAACATATGGGCTGTCGCACGAAGTGACGTTCGTGTTACTGGCGGGCATCTCACTTGGTGCAGTGTGCTCGGCGGTTCTGGGGCCCATTGTGCATCGAAAAGTTTTACACGAGACGAAACAAACAAACCAAGGGACGCTACATGTAAACCCGGCCTCAGGACTTTGGTTTGCCATGTTGGCAGCCCCAGGCCTCCCTGTATCTCTGTTCTGGATGGGTTGGACTGCTTTCCGCACCGTTTCTATATGGTCACCACTTGCAGCTTCACTTCTCTTTGGCTATAGTATCACTGGCATTTTTATCGGCATCTCCATGTATATCATTGATGCGTATGCCCAATTTGCGGCGTCGGCAATGGCTTTCACTTACCTGGCTCGGTACCTCGCTGCAGCTGCCATGACAGTGGCCGGAATCCCTCTCTACGAAAATCTTGGAGGGCATTGGACATTAACATTACTGGGGTGTATTAGCATCATCTTGACACCTCTCCCTTACGTTTTCTTTAAATTGAATCTTGCTCTGCACCATAAGAGCGCTGGTGTGGTCTAGACCAGTCTTGATAGCTGTGACAAGGGTTCAATACAGAAGGCTTGGAGCAAAAGGGCTCAATTCAATAATAATCTCGTAGGATATCAAAGGTCCTGAGTTACTACACGAAAGGAAGAGAAAGGTAACTACTTTATATACATAAAAGGAACGCCTAGGCCTAGAGTCCTTGCCCGGGCACGTGTTCTAACTGTGTAACTAATACGTCCTGTATCGGGGAAGCCCCTTTGTTGGGCTCCCCGATCTGTTGGGCCTTTTCCGTGTAACAATAGCAAATTGCACCACAACTTCTGTTCCTTTTCCAGGGGCCAGATACAATGCTACATGTTATGAAATCTAGATCTTGAACGTTTAAAAGGCTACACCTTTTGCATAATCAAAGAGATACGCTTTCTCGGTGACTTTTCCCCTTATTACCTTTCTCTCTGATACTCCATATCGCTCGCTGTTCGTGGGAGATAGCGGACATGGCGGGAATTACGGCAGTTGTTTCCCGCGTTTGCCGCTAGGGTCAAGCGTGCTTTGGCTTGACTTATTACTCGTGCCACATCCAACGTTACTTATCTGGCAGGTGGGATCTGTCGTGCTCCAAGAGACCCGCCGCGTATCTAACAACTTCCAGTGCTAGCCTACGATTGGCCAAAAGGACCAGACTAGAGAGAGTCGATACACCTTGGGAGCTAAGCCGGGAACTTTTGCCTGCCAAGCGGCGCAATGCCGTGGTCCATCCCTTAGTCGCGCCATGTACCCGATACGTCTGGCTGTTGTCTCAGTGTCGAAATAACCTTTGTGCATCCCAGCCAGATCTAGGGGCCAGAATGTGGCTCCAGACTATGGCCAGACCGGATAGGCCGGTTCGACTGGTCCTCCGCAATGTCTGGTACTATCGCCCGATTTATTAAGGCCCGCAATCTCGATTACGTGTTTCCTCTTAATTCCGAACAGCCGTCGCCCACGACTCGAACACCGTCGCCAGTGCCACGACTCGAACACCGCCTCCACCCTGAAACCAAACTTAATCTTGACGCTCGTAATCCAAACCCGCATCAACCGGCGCGTGATGAGATGTATACAGTATAACCCCTGTTTGATTAACCACCCGTGACCTCACAGCACTTGAGGGTTACTGGAGGCTAATAGAGCATAGGGGCCCTGCTATATCAGCGATCCAGCTGCTGAAGTCAGGGCTTGTTAGACGATTTAGTGGCGTCCTAGTAAGGGTAGTAGTAACATAGGTACATACACTGCCTAGCTTACTTTTTCCCGGAAAAGAACAGTCTGGTACTTTCTGCCCCCACCTTCCTTAATTAACCAGTGCTTTTTATTGGCTATATATCCCCTTGTGAAGTCACGGGTAGTGAATTAAACAGGGTTTAAACTCCGAACATGTGGGGACCTGTTGACAGACGGGATGAATAGCGCGTGGAGCTCTTGCGCCCGGCATCTATTTACATGTAGGCATGAACGTTGGTGGCTGAGCAGAGTTTCCGGCACGTTGGCAAGCAATAAGCCAGGATGCAGCTTCCCGTTTTGCGTCTTGAGCATGATATAATAGGAGCGTCCCCTAGGCTTTAATTGGTCAACGGGAAAATATTGACTCCTTGGTACCTGGTTCATGGAAAATCATAGCTTACGCCACTCCCGTGTAGCATCTTGAACCTCGGCCGCAGGCCATGGCAGCCGCAGCGCCATAACAGGCCAGAGCTCGCCGCAGGGTGTCGAGTCATTCTCGGCCGCTTTTCCTACCCCTAGAACAACTCGTTCGCCCGTGGCTAGTACGCATCAGACTTGACACCACATCAACTGCGCCTCGCACACTTACAATACATCAAGTGTACACTGTGTGCTCAACCTCCATGTGACAAGGCCAGGGTAACTGGGCTTGGAACAGAGGGTTCAATTCAATCTATAATAATCGACTTTGGGTTATCAAAGGTCCTTGGATTGGCACGAGGCCTTGAGAGACGAAAGGCCCCTATAAATACAGCAAGTCGGTGAGGGCCTTCTGCCCTAATCCCGTGACCGTAGCCCTTGTGTAACCCTTGACATTGGGCTATTTCCGTGTAACATTTGATGCCACTTGTATTGGAGCGGCCGTGGTGTACCCGGATGGAATCTCGTACGCGCAAGCCAGAGGCGTTTGTGGCCTGGCGTTGGGAGTTGCTACCAGGTGCAAGGGACTAAAATCAGCATATTCATGCACGTGGTTTGTAAGTCTTTGAACCGTGGCATCAAATAGTTGCTAATTTATTCATGCCTTCAAGGCTAAGCTTAAAACCATGTCGTGCTGAAACGTGGTAACCTTGCCTAGCCACAAATGGCATCGCGACTCATACAACGACACCGTCCTTCACCCCTTGGCATCACATTCCATCTTGTTCATCACTAGTTGCCTGACATGGCATGATGCCAGGTGTTTCGTGGAAGCCAAGTGGTCATACAATAATATGCAAACAGGATTTTATAAAAAGGCACCATGATGCAGACAATGTCTACCTTTATTCTCAACTTCACACCACACCTTTTATTCGACTGTCTACAGCTTTAAAGCCAAGAGAGGATTAGAAATTCATTCTTTTACCATGGGTGTATACGAAACTTTGTTCTTGTTATTTGCGTCTCAGGCGTTGGCCGCGCCTGTAGATGGCCAAGAGGGTACAAAGAATGCCGCCGGCCAGAATGGCGTCCTGCACCTGCCTTTGGTCCACTTCGCAAAAGAAGTCGATGTCAGAAATATTGAGAAGCGTGGATTCTCGACTCCCCTTGACTATTTCAAATATGATGGAAAGAACGCAGTCACGGCTGTAGGCATCGTTTTGGACGTCGGGACACCGCCGCAAAAGGTCATCTTGGAACCAGACACCGGATCGTCCAAGTTTTGGGTACTCGGTCTAAAGCCTGGCGATACTCGCGGGAATGAGCCGTCTGCTTATTTTGATCAAAAACAAAGCCAGTCTTTGCAAGACATGAACAAAGAGGATGGGGCAGCTTATGGTTCAGGCGAGCGTGTTACTTATAATATGGTTACTGATAAAGTCTCTTTTGAAGGTAAGGGCATTATTTGCTCCATCCCAAAATTCCAAATTCAACTAACCCATGCCATCAGGTAAATCCTTAGACCAGATGAAATTCGGTGTGGGCAACTTGACCGCTCCTCACACAAGTTTGGGACGACTTGTCGGCGTAATGGGCTTAATACCCGACCCCAATGTTAAAGATTTTATTCTTGACAAGGTCCTAGAGAAGAACTTGGTCAAGTCTCGAGCCTTCAGCCTTGGCGTTCGCGAAAAGGGTAAAGGGGCTCTCGCCTTTGGCGGATATGACACTAAAAAGTTCTCTGGTCCTCTTGAGAAGTTGCCCATTCAGCCAGCCAAAAAGACAGGGACAACGAGCCAGTAAATATGAAGAAGAAAACCCTACACGCATCTCAACACATTTCTAACCTATGTTTGACAGATATATTGTCGAAGTCCAATCTGTACTATTCAACAACGGTACTGGCAATAGTGCAGTCGCGATGGACAAAGGGGACATTGAAAACGGCAAGCCGTTAACTATGGGCATCGATTCCGGAGCCCCAGCTTTGGGGATTTCTATGGCACTGGGGAGACTCCTTATGGAAAGGACGGGGGCCAAGTTTAAACTCGATCCCCGAGTTCTCGAGTTCGCATGCGATGTAGTCGACGCCAAAGCTTCGTTTGATTTCAAGATGAGTGATAAGACGGTCATTTCGATCCCTCTTTCGGATTTCGTTAGGAGCCGAATTGACAATGACAAAACTTGCCAATTGGCTGTTCAACCCTTCGAGGGTCCTGCTGGTGAGAAAACCCCCGTACTACTAGGAGAATGAAGCTCACACTAACTCTTTTGGTTTTTTTTACTTAGACCTTTGGATTGGCGGACACTTTTTACGCAGGGCTCTGGTTGTTTATGATCCGGATAATAAAAACGTCTACGTCGCTCGAGGGGCGGATTGTGGCTCGAACCTTGTGGCTATTGATGGTAAAATGCCAGACGCTGCGGTAATTGGCGAGTGTAAGGAAGAGGCTCCGGTCTCCAACGCACCAACGGACGAGCCTCCAAATACGCAGCCGGTCCTCGACGAGGATGATATTCGAGATGCCTGAGCACCGTATAAATGCAGAGGAGACCAAGTAGGGAAAAGATGAGTAGTGTACCGCGAGAAGAGGAGTTCCTTCCATGTCACGAAGAAGGTTCTGCCTCTATCCCTTCTATACTCTATAGTATATAGCAGATTCTATTAGATACAATAAAGAGCCTTTGTCCTACATTGAATCCAATAACAAGACGGTTAACTTTATTCCTCTTGAATACAGGGCCCATTTCCGCAATCGTTTCTGCGGCCGAGTCGCGTACGGATTAATGACTCTTTGCTTTCTGTATGCGGCGTTATATACGAGCAAGACCTCTCCACGAGACCGGTATATATCTTAGCCCCATCACAAACTTGACTGGGGTCTACGCAACCTAACCTGGCCCAAAGAGCTGCGTCGTCAACATTTCCGGCGTCTTCACCCACACAGAACTTTCAGGATGCCTTGATAATCGCAAATGTGGAATGGTGTCTGCGACACAATTATTCCACGGCATCAACTGGTCTTATTTCCAGCGTCGTCAGCACTCGTCTTCTGCCATCTGTATGCTCTTTCGATGCCCCGTCGGCTTTGCGCAGTATCGCACAGCTTTTCATTTCCGCATTCACACGTGGCCCCTTCCCGCAACCACCGATACGTGATGCTCCAGCGATCCTGCCTCGGCCGTACCGTCCCATCAGGCAGCGTGTCCGTCTTGCGGGCTCTTATACCATGCGTCCAGTGCAGTCGTGAATCGCCACCGAGCTGTACCAGGCTCCTCGGTGGCAAGTCCACCTCGACCTTGTGGCCCGAGTCGCCGTCGCGAAATTGCATGCACACCGGGGAGCCCAGCGACAGCGAATAGAGCTGGTCGTATGCGCTGTGTGTGTCGACGTGAGGCGGGATCCCGGCCCCGGGGGGGTAATGCTGCAAGCACACCTGGTCGGGCGGCCTGTTCTCTCTCTGCGGCAGCAGCGGGACTAGCCAGTCGGGAAACGCTCTGAAGGGGATATCGCGGTCAATCCCAAACGTCTTGTAACTGAAGGTGTAGCCGTAGTGAAGAGACCGGCGACCGGGCAATGTTGGCCACTCGAGATGTGCGAAAACCTTTAACAGTTCACGTTCGGCTTCGGGCGAAATGAAGTCTTGTTCCATCAGAAGCCCTGGAGGTTCAGAAGGAAGTTCCCCCATGCTGCGCTACAATATTCAATCATCAAAAATGAGTTTCCTTGTCATCGATGATGTGTCGACTGAGGTCGAGTGTGATGTGGTTTCGGTAAAATTCCTTCAACCCACACATAACATGATTATGTAATCATTTGGGACTGTCCCCGAAATCCCGCCACCCGGTGGATTGAAAGCAGTTGACGCCTATACAGTCTATACTCCTCGCGGGTTCATCAGTCACTCCGAAATCGCTCAGTACTGAACTGTTGATCGATTTGTGAAGATGAACGAGATAACACAAGCCCTGAAAATGTAACCACGGCGGCCTGGGGACTGCAAGAATGAAGTAGTCCAGAATCCAGATGTCCACCCTAGCAAAGGGATTCCTTGCTATGGAAGGCATGGCTTTGTGGGGAATAGGGAATTGTCTCACAACTTGAACGCTGTACTTGTAGAGACGGGAATTTAATCAGCTCTATGGACTCTTTCTTACTAGTCTGGCACGTGTAGACTTTTTACAGGTGAGAGAGGGAATCAGAGGGGCCCGAAGCCAAGTTGTCGGCGAGGCCTCGCTTACTATTCCACCTTGGCCGATGGCTGCGGCTGGTGTTGAGTTGGCGGATGTCTCAGCTGCCGAGAGTCTAATAATGCCCGGGAACTCTTCGTTCCAGTTTGAGGGAAACATAATCTCGTCCATAACGTCGCTGTGCTTGAAATACAAGCCGTGCTCGCCATCCTTGGCGCCAAGTATCGATAAATTGAGATTATAAACCATTGAACACGTATCGGCTTTGGATACCCGCCGTAAAGCCTTAAAGTGACAGACTGAGTATTGATAGTGTGGAAAAATACTGTATGTAACTCGGCACGAGCCTCAGGGAACTTGGGAAGGACGTTACCATGAGAGAGATGTTCGACATGGAGCAGCGAGGTTGTAAAGATATGCAGGTGAGGAAACCAGTCAAGGCTGAATTCACGACCAAGCTTTTATCCTCAGGGCTGTTTTGTATCGTTTTGGGCACCACGTCAGCACGGCCAACAGTAGTATTTGACATATCGATTCCTAACATAGCCATGCAGCAGAAATGTTGTTTCTGCTCTCCTCGGAAAACTTCATCTGAATAAGCAATCGATTGGTTTGCATCCTCCTCATCCACTGGTCTGCCCAAGGCCAGTTCACACTCCTTTGTCTGTTAAAGGACTGCCCGAAGTCCAAGGATTGTGGCTGTCTTCTCGTCTGGTGCGCTGACATCCAGATTCTGAATTCATCTAGGTCATGAAAGGTTCTCAGAAACCGGCCACTATGAAACATCAGCGACTGACCAATGGGGTCGGTGCCCAGATGAGTGTGGCAATACCTTTGAGTAATACTTATATATGCTAATTTTCTTCCTTGCTGTTCATGCGATGTTCGGCTGTGGATGGATTTTACTATGAGACATGAGATGTAATAATCGCTGGGCCTCGGCCGCATCAAAAGAGTGACATCAGAAGAGCCATGTAACGGCTAAGGTTCCCAAGGGATAAACTAGTCGTAGTTTATGTTAGCAGAGCTATTAGGGCAGTTAATCTAAGTAATTAGGTATTATATTAATAATAAGTTATAAATTATAACTAAGTAATTAAAGTTAAAAAGTTATAAGTAAAGCTTAAATTAATATAATAATTATTATTAAAAGCTAAGAAGTTAAAGTTTATTTATAAAGTAATATTAAGGGTTCTTATATATTATAATAAATTACTTCTCTTATTATAATATTTCCCTTTAAATTACTATTATAACCATGATCCTACTTATATAGATCATAGTTCTTTTTATAATTTAAATATAATAGTTACTTTAATTATTAATTTATTATTTATCTTACTTATATTACTTTATAGCTTATATAGCTAGCCTAACCTATAGCCTACTTCTTATATATAACTAGGTTATAATATAATATCCCTTCTTTTATGGTCTTATCCTTAAGACTTAAATCTTATTTTATAAATAGCTTTATAGCCCTTTTTTTTATTAATAAGTTCCCTTTTTTTTTTATTCTCTAGGATATTTTACTAATATTATATCTAATTATATTTCTAAGCTAAAATTAAATATAAAGAAAAATAATAGTCATAAATATACTAATCTTATTAGTATTATAGATTTATTTAGCTACCCTATAAACATGCTTTATACTTATTATTTTAAAAATAATAAATCCTATTATATAATAAATAAGAAATCATAATATAATAAGTATATATAGTATAATTACTTATATAATAGTATTTTAGTAGCTTCTTCTTATAGGTATTATTATAGCCCTTATTTTATTTATATCCTTTTACTAATAGTATTTCTTAGTAATATACTTATTAAAGTAATAAAAGAAATTAAAGTTAGAGGAAAAGAAGGCAGGTAATAAGCTATTAAAGCTTTATATATAACTAATTAACCTTTAGTTTTAGCTCTTTATAGCTATAAATTAATTAGCTTAAATATAAAAAATCTAGAATTATATTAAAGATAAGAGTTTAGAATTATTTTATTATAATATAATAAAATTAAATACTAAGAATAAGATTCTACTTACTTTAAATACTTATAAGTATTAAGTAATAAATAATTTAAGTATAATAAGTATTCTTAAAAAGAGTAATTAGTCTACTTTTAGGTTAAGTAAGAAGTTCTTAGATCTAAGTCCCCTTATACCTCTTATACCTTTTAGTAAAACTACC